ATCTGGCTGTCTTGGAAGACACACTTCCTTGTCAGCTCTCTTAACAGAGGCTTATTTTTTTATCTTTTTAAAAAATCCTCATCTGAGGATATTTTTTACAACAATTTTTAGTGAGTAGAAGGAAGGGAGGGAGGGAGCAAATGAAGGAGAGAGAGAGAGAGAGAGAGAGAGAATGTGAGAGAGACACATCGATTGGTTGCCTCCTGCAAATGCCCTGACTGGAGCCAGGGATGGAATCTGCAAGGAGGTACCTGCCCTTGACCAGGAATCGAACCCGTGACCCTCCAGTCTGTGGGTGGATACTCTAACCACTGAGCAACCGGCCATGGCTTGGTCTTATTTCTTATACCTCAGGGTCTGGAGCTGGGAGTATTGCTCCCCAGTGCTGCTTCTAGACCATTATTCTTCCTTCATCCTTCAAAATCCTCTGCTCCTTTGAAGTGCATGTCTGCAAGCGCATCACTCACTGCCCTAATTGTTGCTAGGGTCTCCCAGCTGCTCTTTCACCCACACTCACCGATGACTTTAACTTCCTCTTCACACTTATGTCCCTATCACTGTTGTTGAATTCACAATCCATCAGGGTTCTCCATCTAATTGTAGCCTCTCAACCTTCAGTCTCATCTCCAATGATTTTTCTTTCTGGCTCATTCCTAGGCTTTGTCATCTCCAAAATCAACCTCCTCTGATTTATTGAACTTGAGCCTCCCACCCCTGATGATCACCTCCCAGCCTTCCAGTTCATTTACTCGTGTATTTTCTCATGTACTCCCTTCACGTCATAGAGACCTCTAAACCATTGGTCCTATCCCTTCTTGTACCATCTACCAACCCCTTTTTTATGTTTACGCTCCTTCTTACCCAATTTATATCACTGATCTAACATAAAACACTCTCATACAAATACCTTAAAAATCCCTTCTCTCTCTTTTTAGCAATCAACCTTGGTTAATCCCCATGATACCTCTACTTGCTCCTTGCACCCATTTTTTAAATTATTATTAATCCTCACCCAAGGATATCCTTCCACCTCCATTGATTTTTAGAGAGTGGAAGGGAGGGAGAGAGACATACACAGAGACAGAAACATCAATGTGAGAGAGACACATTGATTGGTTGCCTCCTGCATGGGGATCAAGCCTACAACTGAGGTACATGCCCTTGACTGGAATCAACCCCTGACTCTTTAGTCTGTGTCTGTGGGCTGAGGATCTATCCACTGAGCCAAACGAGCCAGAGCTGCACCCCCCCTTTTTTTACTGTCACATTGGGGTTCAGGGGTAGATTCTACTGGCATCTAATCAGTAAAAGTTAAGGATGCTAAATATCCTATGCACAGGACCATCACCCATATCAAGGAATTATCTGACCCCAAGTATCAAATGTGTGAGGTTAATAGAGCCTGCTTTAAATTAATATTACAAGTCTCAAAGGGGCAGGTGACACAGGGTCTTAGCATTTGCTGTGACCTCTGGCTAGAACATGATTCTTACATGGCTGGCTTCTTATTCACGCTTCCCAAAAAAGTCTCCCTCGGGAGTGGAGCCAACCTCATCACATTAACCTGTTTTATTGCCTTCAAAACATCAGCCATTTTGTTTATGATTTTATTGTCTGCTTCCCTCTCTCTAGAATGTGAGCCACGTGAGCAGTGTCCTTATCTTTCTTGTTTACAGCTGTGTCCTCAGTGTCAAACATGGTGCCTGGTACATTATACAGGCACTCAGGAAGTATTTATTGAACACATGGGTGAAAATATAGTTAGTTTTCAAATTTATTCATCAAATATTTTTTAAATATATTTTTATTGATTTCAGAGAGGAAGGGAGAGGGAGAGAGAGAGATAGAAACATCAATGATGACAAAGAATCATTGATCGGCTGCCTCCTGCATGCCCCACCCTGTGATCAAGACCGCAACCCGGGCAAGTGCCCTGACCGGGAATCGAACCACGACCTCCTGGTTCATAAGTCAACGCTCAAGCACTGAGCCACGCTAGCCAGGCCATTAAATATTTATTGATGATAAAACCCAGACACATCTCTGCCCTCTTGGAACTTAGTATAGTGGGAGACTGACATTGAATAAATAAGCACACAATGTAAATAGTTTCAAACTATGATAAGAGCTTTGAAAGTAAAGTATAGGTAAGTAGCGGTGACAGCATTCAGCAGGTGATCTGACTCAGTCTGAGGTGGGGTAGCGAGGCCAGGCCTCCTAGGAGAAGTGATATTTGAGCTGATAGCTGAAGGATTAGTTGGCTGGCTGGGTAGAGGAAAGTGGGTGGGGGTAAATGGAGAAGAACATCCAGGCGTCCAGAACAGAGTGTGCGAAGGCAATTTGGTGGGAAGTATGTTTCAGGAACAGAAAGATGCCAGTGTGGCTCAAGCAGTCTGGTATGGCATTTGCCAAATCCAGCGGAGCAATAGGAGCAAAGGAGTGCCATTAGAAGATATAAGGCTTTTCAACAGGAAGTGACAAGATTCTCGAAGTTTGTTTGAAAAAAAAAAGAAGTTACTTCCAGAGATTAGATTTTATTATTATTATTTTTATATATTTTTATTGATTTCAGAGAGGAAGGGAGAGGGGAGAGAGATAGAAACATCCATGATGAGAGAGAATCATTGATAGGCTGCCTTCTGCATACCCCCTACTTGGGATCGAGTTTATAACCCAGGCATGTGCCCCTGACTGGAATCGAACCTGGGACCCATCAGTCCTCAGGCTGATGCTCTATCCACTGAGCCAAACCAGCCAGGGCCAGAGACTAGATTTTAGGAGGACGAGAAGGGAAGCAGGGGATTGGTTTGGAGCCAGTTAGTGTCTAGGCAAGAGGGGATGGTGGCTTGGCCTGAGGTGGTGGCAGTGCGTGTGGAGAGAAGTTGTATATACTTAAGTAATGAGAAATATGGAATTTTAGAGTTGGAAAGCACCTTTAAAAAAACACCATTGACCTAGCTGGTTTGGTTCAGTGGATAGAGCAGCGGCCTTCGGACTGAAGGGGCCGGGTTAGATTCCAGTCAAGGGCACATGCTGGGTTGCAGGCTCTATCCCCAGTAGGGGGTGTCAGTGATTCTCTCTCATCATTGATGTTTCTATCTCTCTCCTCCTCTCCCTTCCTCTCTCTGAAATCAATTTTAAAAAAGAAAAGAAAAAAAACCATTAACCCAAAAGTAGGAAAAAAAATGAATGAATAAAAAAGAGTTCATTAAGGTCTGCATTTTATAAAAAACAAAACAAAACAGGTTAATTGACTTGGTATGAGGGCCCCTTTAATATGTTTATTTAATACAAGAAGGAAAGACCTACAGAGACATGATTAAGAAAGAGGAACAAAAATGGGAAATGCGTGAGAGTTGAGGGGGGAAAAGGAGAGAGAAAAATGAAGTAAGAGAGCGTAAGCAAGGTGTGCGAGTCTGGGAGGTGTGACAAGGTGGGAGGCAAGGAAGACTGGGAGGAAACTGGGCAGGAAGATGCAAAGACAGACGAATTGGTGATGCTGGACTCCAGGAGAGCTGGAGACTGGGAGGGTACAGAGGTAGACTGAGAGGGGAGTGAAATAGGAAGTGGAAAAGGCGGGAAGGGGGGGAGGATAAACTAGTGGGAGGAATGAGTGATGTGGGATGCTGGGAGAGATATCCAGAGGGAGGATGGGGAAGTAGTTTAGGGAGAGTCAGAGAAGAAACCTGAGGGTGAGGTGGGAGCCTGCGAGCCGAATCAAAGGTCACATTAGAGCCAGATGTTAGGGAGGACAGAGCGGGTGGGAGAGCCCATACAGATAGGCTGGTCCAGGCTCAGAATGAAGGAGAAATGGGTGTATGGCTGGGGGCTGAAGGGCTGAGGGGAGGGGGCGGGGCAAAAGGGGGAGTAGGAGGGAGAAAGAGGCAAAGGCGAAGGACAAGCTTGAAAAGACTCCAAGGGCGGGAAGGAGGGATGTGACCAAGGCGGCACCGGAGCCCTTACCCTGCACCCCGTCTTCAGCCGGCTTCTGGTGTCAGCGGTTTCTTCCTTCCGTTACAAGGACCCCTGATGCGGGAGGGGATAGTGACTGCTGGGAGGGCCCAGGCACTAAGTCATGTCAGGGATGTGCATGGAGGGGACCAAGAAGACGGGAGGGCGTGCCTGCAGGCCGGGTGTCCGGTGGAGGGCCGGGTAGGAGGGCAGCGGACCGCGGAGGGGGCGCGCGTGCCTGGGTGGCTCTGGGTGGCGACTCCAACACGGCTGCTGAAGGGAGAGGGCGAAGGATTGGAGCCAGGACGGGGTCGGCCAGGAGAGGAAAGAGAAGGGAAGGGAGTAGAGCAGAAGGTGGGGGAGAGGGAGGGCAGGACGCAAAGCGCCTAAGGGAAGCCTAGAGTCCCCGCGGCGGGAAGTGGAGGGGGAGCGGGGCGGAGCGAAGGCTGGCCGGGGGCGTCCCCGCGTCCCTGGCGCACCTGTTGGGGCACCGGGAAGGCGCATCCCGGTGCCCGACCGAAGTCCGGTCCAGCGGGGTTGACTTCCGAGAGGCCGCCGCCTCCTCCCCACCTGTGGTCACAGACCGGCAAGTGAAGGGGCGTGACCCTGGTGCTCAAGTTTCTTCCTCTATACCTGGGAGAGGAGGGGTGGGGGCCAGGACTTCCGGCCCAGGTGAGTGTCCCTTCGGTGACGTCAGGTCACCCTTGGCCGCCCCTCTGGTTCCGCTCCCCCTCGCGCTCCCA